TTGGCGCGGGAGAGGCGCTTTCGCACGTTCTGCGCGCTGTCTGGTGTGGAGCGTTTGGGCGGCGTGGTCTGAGTCCTTGTGAGAACGGGTGCGCGTTTGAGCTTGGCTGGCCGCGGCCTTGCGAGCCTTTCGGGGCGACACTTTTGGCCTTCTCCCGCCGGTGTAAGAGCTCGCGGCGGGCCGCGTAGCGCTCCGGCCCGGCCTCACCATGTTGGTGCTGTTTGAAACGTCCGTCGGCTACGCCATCTTTAAGGTAGGTGGAAGCGAGCCGCTGGGGGAGAACAGCGGGTGTGTAGGGCAGGCGAGAAGAGGGGGAGCTCTGAGGGGGGGAGTCACCGCTTAGGATGGCGTGACTGCCGCGGGTGCACCCCTGCTCTGCAAGGAGGGGGAAAGCTTGGGGCTTGGGGGGCACGTGTGTCGCGGAACACGTGGCCTCGCCGTTTGGGCAGCCCGGCTCGGAGTTGACCATTTGACCGGCTTAAGAAATGCCGGTAGGAGCCGTGTTAGAATTTTACAGATTTTATTTTGAGTGTTGTGAAGGATTATTGAAAGGTTTTAAGCAGAGGAGTGACAGACTTAATTAATCTTATTAGTAAAGTTGACTTGCCCTGTGGAGAATAGATTGCAGAGGGGACCAGAAAGGAAGTAAGTGTATTTTTCCATTAACGTGGACGAGATAAAATTGCTTGGATTAAGGTTAGTGTGCAGGGAAACATTTGGAGAAATTTTGAAGGTAGAATTGACGGGGTCAGCGGATGGATTAAGCGTGGGTGAGCGGTGACAGGGAAGAGAAACGGTTTTTTGGAAGAGGGAGAAACTGAAAAGTTCAGTTCGGGCTGTGTGAAGCTTCTGTGTCAGACTTGGGCATGCAACTTCATTTCAAGTTTGAAAGCTAGAGGAGAAATCTGGGCTGGTGATAATCTATTTGAGATTTGGCTGTTTCGATTGGAAAAGTTTGAAAATAGAAGTTTATCAGCGCGGAGAAGGTTAAACAGAGGGAGGTTCCTCTAGTGTAATGCTATCCGGGTGTTAGGAAGAATGGGGTAAATTGAGTGCAGTTCCGAGCCAGGCATTTTTCAGAGTTCTGAATATAACCACAAAAACAAGTGTTTTACATATATATATGTGTGTATATATATATATAAAGATAATATGCTCTTATAAAAAAAAGTACTAGATAAAACATATAGGGTTTCTGGTTGTGAATCAACAATTGGAAAGTTTGGAAGGTACATATCAAAATGTTGATTTTGGAGAATTTATCTCGAAGTTTCTCTTCTAACATTTGAAATTATGCCTCTACATTCACTTATTGATTAAATAGTCCTTTTTAAGGAAACCAATAAATAATTAAAAATCAAAAGCTGTTTTGTTTATTGTTCCTCTTATTTTGAAGTTGTCTGTAATTGCACTGTGAGCAATTTTAAGGGATGGTTTAATGACTTAGAGGCCAGGAAAGTATCAGTTTTACTTTTCCCAGTCTCATCTAAATTCTGAAGGTAGAGTACTGCACATGCCCCCAATTCTCCTACCCTACCGGGTCTGCAAATGAATTTATCTAAATTGATGTTATATATGCTATCGTGAACTGGATGCTGCCTAGGGGAAGGAGGAATTCCTCACAATCCACTGGTTGCTTGTGAGAGTGGAAATTGGTTTAGCAATTGTTTGGTTTCTGGACCTGACTCATAAAATTTTCACCTTTGAATGAATTCTTCACTTTTGTGAAGAGTGTACTTTATAAAATGAGTATTCTGTTGCAGTTTTCAGTATTATTTATCTGCAAGTTACTGATAAAATTGTTGGGGTTTTTTGGTAACCTAATAGAGAAATAACCAAGGACTTGACTGTATTGAAACATTGATTCATTTGTGTTTGGAATAGCAGTTATCCATTCTTTATGAATAAAGTAGACCTACAAAATGTTCTGGAAATAGTGATAGTTGCATAACTTTATGAAAAATATTAAATCCTTTCTGTATGCCTCAGACCCTATGCTCAGCTTGCAAGTTTTGTCTTTTTCTTGACCTTTTGTTTGGTTTCTCTATAAGGAATACATTTTATATCATGACTCTGTACACATACCCATATATATAGAGTGGTTCAAAAAGAAATGTTTCTAAGAAATTATTGTTTATTTGAAAGATTTTTATATGACTGCAAAGACAATATGTAGAGGAACTAGTCTAGTTATTTCTAGAATATTGCAAACACTCAACCTGTGTCCCTTATGTCACATGACATACGGAATAAAACTAAAGACTTCCTTTGGCCTTACTTATCCCAGATCTTTTGTAGCTGTACTGCCCAATGTGTAGTAACCTCTGTCCACATAAAATGTGTGTAGTAAAACTGGAAATGAAATTTTAGTTCTAATTCATTTGACTTTCAGTCTCATCATACAGTGCAGGTGTGTAACGTGTACATTCCTTTATTTTCTCAAGACATGCGAGAGTGAGAGACTCCTTAAGAATAGAATGTTTTCAGCAAAGATCCCAGATTGATCTGAATTTACATCCAGTTATAAATGGGTAACTTGAGTTAATTTAACCAAAATTTTATGCTTTGTGAGGAAGCTTATTTCAGAGAAAAAGAGCTTCCACCCTTGTTTTATATGTATAACTGTACTTGAAGAATGTAGCCATACATGCCTAAACTGCCATTTAAAGAAAATTGTTTAAATATTACAGGTTCTGAATGAAAAGAAACTTCAAGAAGTTGATAGTTTGTGGAAAGAATTTGAAACACCAGAGAAAGCAAATAAAATGTAAGTAACCTTGAAACTAAGAATTTAGCTTAGTTAACATTCAGAGATATTTTTAACCTTTTTTCTCTGATTCTGTTATGTTATGTTCATAACTTTGTTTTGAAATGTTTCAGAAATAATATTGCTATGAGCCTGATTATTAGATTCTTTATTTGGAGCAAGACCATCTCAACTAATTTATATTAGTTGTAGACTAGATTAGACAACACCCCACAATTACTATTATAAAATATTAGAAAGTAAAATTTGTGTATTATGTATAAATTTCTGTTAAAAGTAATAGCATGAAGTGCTGATTAACTTTTAGTTTCTTTAGGTTTTGTTCAAGTTTCTATCTTAACTGATAGTTTATTCTTTTTTTTTTTTTTTTTTTTTAAAGGATTTGAATATTTATTTATTTATACAAGCACTGGGTACAGTCAGAAGCGCAGGAGGGTGAGAGAATTCACCAGAGCCAGAGCGGGGAGCAGAGCAGGCAAACTGAAGCACACTGCTGAGGGGAGCAGTGGGTGGCAGGAGAGGCTTGCACGCCATGTGGGACCCTCCTCTGGTGGCCAGGGAGCAGCTGAGGATCGAACCGGTGCTGCAGAGGCTGCAGGCAGCTTCGCAACCCAGCGCTCAACCAACCCAGCGCTCAACCGCTGCGCCACCGGGGAGGCCCAGTTTATTCTATCTTAACTGATAGTTTATTCATTCTTTGTGACTTCTTCCTAGCTCCTTCTGGAGTAATAATTAAACTATAAATCCTGAACGCTAGAACTGAGTTCCCCCAAGGTCGATGGATAAGAATGTAGAATATAGTGTAGAAACCCAGCTTACAGAACAAGTGACTGGTGGAAAAGATCTGACTTTTCCTCGGGATAGAGTTGAGATACTTATTTTTACCAACTTCAAATAGTTCATTTGGTATGTATTGCTCTAGGGAAGGACCTGACAGTTTTCTTGATACATGTGGATTTGGATTGTTTTTGGACGTCAGGGTGCATTCAATAATTTATCCGTGAAAAAGAAGCAAATGTAGAAGGAAATTACATAAACTTGCTCAAGACTGTTAAACCCAAGAAGTGTCATATTAAACAATTAGGGAACAAAATAGAGATACAGAATTGATAATGGCAAAACCCAAAACTTAAAACAACTTAAAAATTCCATTATTGGCTGAATTGTTGAATACATTGTATATCTATAAGACTTCTGTTGATCTGGAGAGAGGCCCATGATATATCAAATACTCCAGAGTAGTGGTTTTTTGTTTTTTGTTTTTTTGTGTGTGTGTGTCTGTGGGACCCTCGCCTGTGGCCGGGGATCGAACTGGGGCTGTAGAGGCTGCGGGCAGCCTTGCAACCCAGCGCTCAACCACTGTGCCACCAGGAGAGGCCCTTTTTTTTCTTTTTTTTTTTTTTTTTTTTTTTTTTTTTAAAGATTTATTTATGCAAGCACTGGGGTACAGGCCAGAGGTACGGGAGGGTGAGAGAATTCACCAGTGGCAGAGCAGGGAGCAGAACAGGTAGAAGGACTGAAGTACATTGCTGAGGGGAGCAGCAGGAGAGGTCTGCCTCGCCATGTGGGAATCTCCCTAGCAAGCCGGAATTGAACCAGCACTGCAGAGGCCGCAGACAGGTTCACAGCGCTGTGCTCAACCCGCTGCACCACCAGGGCTGCCCTGTTTTTTTTGTTGTTGTTGTTGTTTGTTTGTTTTTTGTTTTTTTAAGATTCTTTTTTGCGTAGAAGAACTGGGGTGCAGGCCAGAGGGGTGGGGAGGTAAGATGATTTACCCGAGATAGAATGAGGAGTGGAACAGGCAGATCTACTGAAATACACTGCTAAGGGGAGCAGTGGGCAAAACAGGAGAGGTCTGCTGCACCTTGTGGGTTAGCTCCCTGGCCTGGGTCTGAACTCAGGCCTACCCCTGGGCCTTTGAGGTGCTATCACTGAGACTTAACCCCTAGGCATCAGGGTGGCCCGCTTCAGAGTAGTTTTTTATAATATTCCGTTTTTGCAGTATCCATGTACATTTATTCATTTGTAGAAGACTGGAGAGAGATGAATAGAAGGATGGAAATGGGTTGGGGGTAGGGCAGATTAAGATGACTTTATTGCTTTTTCTTTAAATTTTTACAATGTTAACTGTTTAAGGGTCCTCTCACTGGGTGTTCTCTGGGTAAGAAAAGCTTATTTAAGGTAACACTCTTAGACATGACAGAACACTAGTTTAATTCAGTTGTTCATTTGATTCATTGTTGTCAATGATGTATTCTTGTTGGAACTGAATCTGAGTGATTTAACTCAAGTATTCGTCACTACCACTGAGACAACAATGGGTTAACTATATTTGCTTCAACAGAACATGTTACCCTGCCCATAATAAGTATATGGAGAGGATGGGGGTAAAGTAAAGGGAACAGGAATCATTTGCAGTAGGTGGACTAGTGAATGTTCTAAGATTCTTGACCTAAGAGGTAGGTCAATTCAATGCTATCATAAGGGTATCTGTGTCCAAATTTAAGTATCAGAGGTTAGGTTGAAGCTTCAACATCTTTCCTGAGGTTTAACTATGTTAGCATACCTTTTCGATTTCCTGAGTTTTTTTGAAAGTTTAGAATCTTCTTTATAATAGTCTAAACATTGCTAGCCTAGCACTTAGAAAAACTGGTCATTTTATAAAGACTATCTAGTTACATCCTGGTTTCCAATGACAGAAAAATTTATTCTACCACTAATTCGTACAAAGTGTTATAAACCAATGCTGCCTCGATAAAGGGAGGGGGATTACTAAGTGTGTACATTAAAAGAAAAAAAAAAACATACTTCAGAGGGGGTGTGGACCTATTTTCCTAACAGTCCCTCTTTCCTAAACATGTGACTTGCAGAATCAGTGTACTTCCATAACATATTTTTGTTTTTTTAATTCTAGAGTAAAACTAAAACATTTTGAGAAATTTCAGGATACAGCAGAAGCATTAGCAGGTAAAATCAAAGACTAGCTTTTGTATTTTGCATTATTATTGTTAATCTTGACCATTTGTTACCTTACTTAAAGATTATTTGCTTCAGTTACCTGAGTTAACTTTATTCAATGTTGTCAATGATGCATTCTTTTTGGAACTGAATTTAAATGATCTTAACGCAAATTCGTCACTACCACTGAGACAACATTGAGTTAGCTTTTTTCACCATAGGGCTGTTTTTTTCCCATGTGATGAGAGGTGAGAAGTGGTTAAGTTGATCTCCCTGTGGAAACCAACAGCATAGTGCTGAAGCACAATTCAGTAAAGGCTGTTCTACGAGGGACCAAGGTAATGTCAAGTACACAACTCTGATAATTATAACCCAAGAGTAAAGTTGAGAGTAGCCAGGATTCACAGTTGAAAGAATAAAGCAGCTCGCCAAGGGTATATGTTTTTAGTTTGAAAAAACACTTTATTATTAAAAGTTTTAGGAAAATTAAGAGTTTGTATGTTTAATATGAAAACTAGAGTGTTTATCTAAAACGGGCATGATATGTTAATGATTTAGAAGAAAAGCTGACTCATCCTTCAATTAGTCCTCATGATGGGACAATAGACATACAGTGATAGCGTTTATTAACTAGTTTTAATTAACTTCATTAAAACTTGGTCACAAGATTTTTTCTTTTTTTAATATTAGGGGAAAAAAGACTTGATAAAACCCTAATCATAAGGCTTTTTGCTTGCATTCTGTGTCACAGATAAGGCAACTAGTTGGTGGTATAATTTGAAAATGAAGGGGCATAAAGAAGACTAAGAGTCAGGCAAGAATTTGACAGACTCAAATAATTTTGGTTATCAGCTAGAGGAGATGGGTATAATTCTCTTTTGAAAATGAGAAATATAACTAAGTGTGCTGGGATATTAATGGACAACCCCAAAACATGGCATGGAATATAAACTAAAGGGGAGGGCCCAGCAATTCACCAATTTTTAAAAATAGGGCTGCTTTATCAACTGAAAGGATCATGAATCATAAAGTGTAACTATAGTAATTTTGGCTTGGAGAATTTTTTTTTAGATAGTTTTGTTCACAAAGCTTTAAGATTAAATATGACAGCATTTTGGTAAAATGCCTAGCAAAATTGTTAGGTGTATTCAACTCGGGTCCATTATTCACAGATTGATTTGAACAAGTCCTCCTGGAGTTGTCTGTAAAGTGTTACAGCCCCAATCACAAGTGGCCTCTTTTGAATTCCGTTTTTTATATAATCTCTTTAACACAACAAAAGGAGACTTTTACTATTAATAGCTAATATATTGATCACATGGCAATTGTCAGATTTTATATACATAGCATCAGAATTGTTATTTGATCCTTGAAACAATCCTTTGTGATATGTAACATTAATCACTATTTCACAGATAAAACTGGGGCTTGAGAGGTACCTCATTTCCCTATCGGGCTTCTTGGTATTCCTTAAAATAGTGTAAGGTAAACATAGAAAATGCCATAGTAGGTGGGGATTTAAATTCATCCCTTACCTGCCCCTTCTATATTCCATGAAGTTAGAGACAATTTTTTTTCTTAACTGTCAAATTCCTACATTTTAGCATATAATTTTTTTAAAGATTTATTTATGCATACAGGAACTGGGGTACAAGCCAGAGGTGCTGGGGGTGAGAGGATTCACCAGAGACAATGGGGAGCAGAATAGGCACATTGATTGAAATACACTGCTGAGGGAAGCAGCGGGCGAGACAGGAGAGGTCTGCTGCACCATGTGGGCAACCTCCCTGGTTGGCTTCTGATAGCTTCATAGTGCTGAGACTTAACCCCTTGCGCCACCAGGGAGGTCCTATATAAATTTTTCTTGATAACTGTATGATAGTTACAAGGTCTGTTGGGAATCTGGTTGTAGAAATCTCTATAGTGCCTTTTCCCATTTATTTTTATAGAAAATTTAGTATCACTTAATTAAAATACCATAGTCCTTTCTGGGAATTAATTTCCTGTTATCATTTATAAGGCAGTTTTGACAGAGCCAATCCAAGTAGCTGTAAATGTCATAGGCATGTAAAACTCTAGCTTAAGAAAGAGTGATGGGGTGTAATGTCAAGAATTGATACTGGACGTGGAACTCTTTATCAAATTTTCAAATTACAGGTCTTTCAATTAGCTAGAATAGAATTTGGAGCCAGCCTACATTTAGATGTTACAGAAGATCTAGAGTAGAAACTTTCAATAAGAACTCCACTTTTATTAGAAAGGCATATTTATTATAAGAACTCAATATACAAAATGTAAATGGTTAAAACCCAACAAAAGTAGCTTGAATCCTAACTTCTTAGAGTGCAGGATCCTCTGTAAGAGCTGTGTGGTAGTGAGATGGCTTTTGCCCTCACCTTCATCTTCCTAGAAAAAAGGTGAAATGAGCTTATAATTCATATGCATGGGATATGATCTGGAAGGAAGAACAGTTGGGACCAGTTTGATTATGCCCAAACTATCGGATCTTAGAAATTGTGATAGACTTCATTTCTGCCAGGCATATTTTAAAATTCAGCTAAAATCTAGACATCAGAAAAGATGTTAGTCCCATTGGGTCCAGGTATCTAGGTGGGGGAAGGTGAGAATTATAAAGTAGCAGATTTAGAAATTGCCAAAAATTAAAGCACCTATCCCAGAATTAAATAGCCTACTTTCAGCAATAAGTGCTCCATCACTGCAGTTTTACAAGGAGAAAATTTGTGACACATCTGGGTCAAGAATTAGGAGAAAACAAGATCTGAGTATTCCACAGTCCAGAACATCAGGCCTGCCTCTTAGTAATGATGAAAATGAATCTATTTGTCATTCTAAATTTAATTGTGCTTCTAGCTCTGAATTCAAGATAAGATTTGTGTCACATAGGAAAAGAATAGCTGAATCTGTTTTACCTCCTGGTTCTAAAGTAGAGATGAGGTGGGAGTGTCAAATGCGATTGTGAAATATGTAACTTGTAAAACATTTTAATTTCAGAGGTAATGTTAAATTTAGTCCCTTTGAAAGGAAGTATTTTTTTTTTTACTTTTTTCCCTTAATTTAAATAAGATCTTAAACTCTTAAAAATGTAAGAGTTAATTCATTTGTTTTTCTTTTTCCTGAAAAGCATTCACAGCTCTGATGGAGGGCAAAATCAATAAACAGCTGAAAAAAGTTCTGAAGAAAATAGTAAAAGAAGCCCATGAACCTCTGGCTGTAGCTGATGCTAAACTAGGAGGAGTCATAAAGGTAAAGATAGGATTTTCTTCTTGCCCCCTGATCAGGGTCCATCAAAGAGCATAATGACTACAGGGCCTCCCCGGTGGCGCAGCGGTTGAGCGCTGGGTTGCGAAGCTGCCCGCGGCCTCTGCGGCGCCGGTTCGATCCCCAGCTGCTCCCCGGCCGCCGGAGGAGGGTCCCACATGGCGCGCAGACCTCCCCTGCCGCCCGCTGCTCCCCTCAGCAGTGTACTTCGATCCTTCTGCCTGCTCTGCTCCCCGCTCTGGCTCTGGTGAATTCTCTCACTCTCCCGCGTTTCTGACTGTACCCAGTGCATGTATAAACAAACAAACAAACAAATAAATTAATTAATTAAATGCGTGCCTCTTTAAAAAAAAAAGAGCATAATGACTACAAAGCCTAGCCTATGTAATGAGTTGTTTGAGATAATTTTTCATAGTTGATCTTTTTTCCTAGGTTGCATATGATTGGTTTCCAAAACTAAGCATATATAAGTAATGTCTTGACTGCCTGTTGTAGAAAATATAAATCAAAAAATGATAAAAAATTAACTTTAATCCTGTCTCCCATACATTATCTGTTGTTCATGCTTTGTGTATGTCCTATCAAATTTTTGTTTAGCCACATTGTTTTTTTCTTCAAATGTAAATGAGGTTATGGCATTTAATTTTTTTGTAAAGATTTATTTATGCATACAGGAACTGGGGTACAGGCAGAGGTGTGGGGGTGAGAGGATTCACCAGAGACCAGAGTGGGGAACAGAACAGGCAGATTGACTGAAATACATGGCTGGGGGGAACAGCGTGCGAGTCAGGAGAGGTCTGCTTTGTCATGTGGGTTAGCTCCTTGGCCAGGGAATTGAACTCGTGCAGCAGTGGCTACAGGTTGCTTCATGGTGCAGCAATTTAAACCCTTGTGCCACCAGGGAGGCCCTAATTTTTTAAGTGTCTTAAATATAAGGTGAAATTGGAAAGAAAGACTGAGAGGTGACATGCAAGTATGAAAAGCAGGGCTGTTTGAAAGCTGGTTGTACTAGTTTGATCTTCAGACATTCGAGTAGTAGTTCAGCCATGTTTAATTTTTGTGTTCTTAAACATACTTCTGATCCT